CTCTCTCTCTCTCTCTCTCTCTCTGTTTCTATGGTGAGTGCACATGCCGTATAGCAAAAATCTTGCTTAAAACCAAGACAAAACAAAACAAAAACACAGAGTAACAGACCCAGGCCTGGGAAAACCAACTCTGAGGTCAATCCTCAGCAACTGACTTGTAGAGCCTGTCCCCTAGTCATGAGAATCACGGGGGAAATTTATCTGACCCACAGAGTCCTGAGCCCCATTCTAGACCCACAAGTCAGAATCGCTGAGAACAGGTCCCCTGTCTGTAGACAGCAGAATTGGAAATATTGCCCTTTTAGGCTGGAGGCAAACACACAGGTGACACTACCACACCATTCAGACACCAACTCTTTGGACACCAGGGCTCCCAGGCACCCCCAGGCACCGCTGCAGTGAAGGCCCAGTCTTAATCCTAGGAAGCATTTCTAGGGATCTGGCTTTTTCAAAGTTCACATGGAAAGTGAAATCTGGCCCTTCAATCATTCCATGCAACTCTTTGGCATAGAGGAAAGGACAGCAAAAGGGACCAGCAACTCAGCTGGGAAGGAAATTCTGGCCCCAGCTAGACAAGGTCCCAGGTGCTTGTCCAGGGTAACTTGGACAAGCAAGTCCCAACGTAAGAGGGTCTGGGGAAGCTGGGAGGTGGGGTGGGGAGGAGAGGACTTAAGTGATCAGATATCAAAATCTAACAATCATAAAAGCTCCCAGGGCAACTTTCTCCCAACACTGGAAGAAGGTAACTCCCTCCCTGTAGATTTTTGAGCCTCGACTCTATCAGAAGGATATTGTCTTTAGCAGCACGGACTTCTCTCCCCATTTATAACCTGCTTCCATAGAGAAACCTTCAGATAGGCTTGGATTTAAAACACCCAAATCCTGGGACCAGCAGATGGTGTAATGGTTACATCACTGGATTCCCATGTAGTCCACCACAGTTCAAGTCCCAGACTCAGTGACTTAAAAGTCACAACGGGTGCCAGTCACACACTTTTGAAAGTAATGACAAGGGGGTTGGGGGCAGCAAAGGGGTAGAGAGGCTTAGAAAAACACACTTATATATCTTACTACTTATCAGCTCAACTCTACTATCCATACTTAATTCAAACTTAGGAAATGAAAACAAGTTGAAAGGAACTTGGGAAATAATAATTGAATGATGTGGCTAAAATCTAAATCAGAAAGAACATGTTTTCTTAATTTAAAAAAATCAGTATGTGTATTGCAGGGGTCGGGGGGGGGGAATGTTGAATAAATCAAGTGACATTTTAATTTTCAAAAAGCAATCAATATTTCAAGAGACGCTTCCACGTCTGAAGTCCTGCTCTCAAACTGACCACAGTTCATTAATAAATTGATGCCTGCCATTGGCCAGCTTCCTCCTCCTACCCTGAGGGAAAGTTCTGGGATGATGAAGTCTGTTCGGTGGGCTGCCTCTGAAGTGAATAAAGGCAGGCAAGTATTTCTGGGTCTTCTTTTTAAAAAACCCCAACCCTCGCTGTTTGCAGCGGTAAACACAGGAACACACATGCTGTGCGGTGCGTCCAAGAAACACCGGGATGACAAGCAGCAAAATGTCACATCGCACTGGGTGGCAGGCCCTCACATTCCATGTCCAAGTTACTGGTCAGAGAGATGACTCAATAAATAAGACTCTAAAAGGAACACGCTTCTTCCTGAGGAAGAACTGGACGCTCTGGGTGGTTGCTGTTAACTCTTTCTGGCCTCTGAAGATGACATTTATAAACAGGTACCTGGAAGGATGAAGACACAGTATTTACTTCCTTTCCAGGGATCCCAACCTACTGGGAACCGACCCTCTGCCACTGGGCATAATTAAGCTTTGAGTGTTATAAGGAGCAGGACGGAACATTTGCATTGAATCCCAGCAACTGGGTAAAGTTGAAATGAAAACACTTCATTTCATTTCACTTTTGTCATCATCTCCACCTGACAGATGAGAATACTGAAGCTGCAAGACATCAGATTGGCCCAAAGTCACAGGGGTAGAATGAGAAAAGCGAGTTTTCTGACTACAAATCACACTGCCAATCTTCAACAGCAAGCTTCGTTCCTAGGCTATTTAAACAGTGAAAGGAGACCCAGACTTTGCAAGCCTGGCTTTAGAGTCAGACTTGTCTGGTTTGGAGTCAATACTGACTAGCCATGTGGCTCTCAGGAGAGAACACCCACTCCCCTCCCTCCGTGTTCCCATGAGTGGACTTCCATGCCATGTCCTAAAAAGGCACAGCCTTGGAGGGACGATTCTGAAGGACCACTGACCTGACCACTCAGGCAATGGGAGGCCATTTCTGCTCTTGCCTTTGAACTTGCCTGTTCTGGGAAGAACAGGTCTGACCCATCCCCTAGCTCCAGAGCTGAACACACACTCAGGCCCATCGATTGAAGCATTCCACCCAGCATGGGGCTGGGCACATGCCCTAAACCAAGATGGCGTCATGCCCTGGCTTTCTGCTGAAGCTTCCATAAAAAAGGGCTCTTTCTCTGTGGTTGAAGTCACTATGGGTAATAAAATCCTGGTCCCCATATGCAGTCTTTCTGAGAATGCCACAACAAAAGAAAATACAAAAAGAGAAAAAGAGAGCGATTCCTAATATCATTGAGGCCCATGGACCCATGCCCACAGCTAGAACCTCTGAACTTCCCAGGTAAACAAGCCAATGACATCCACCCAAGGGCTGTTTGAGTCACCTTTCCCTCTGGTCCAGTCAAGAGTTCTGACAAATCCAAGTCCATATTACACAAATGTATGAAGTGGGTCATGCATCACAATCCTCCAGACATAACACAACTAGAAGAATCTAGGCCGTGAAGCCTGCAGACTGAAGACTCAGAGTCCAGGAATCCAGAGTTTCATTCTGACAGCTCCAGGAATCCAGCAGGTCCTCTGTGACTGTGACGAGTCACCCTCATCCACATGGTACTTTGGGCCTTTGTATTTGCTGTGCAGAAGGGGTTCCACGTCCAAAACAGTCCTTACTGAGACCAACCAAACCTCCTGGAAAAACAGTTCCACCCAAACCTACCTGAGGCGCTGGAGACCCGAGACACGTCCTGGGACTGGATGGAGCGATTGCGACTCTGCTGTCGGCGCCGACCGGAGGCTGACCTGGTGGCACGCACGTGGACCTCGCTCACTTTGAAGAAGGCCACCATGAAGGGCTGCTTGTCATAGGGGCCGTCCCTGCCCACCAGGCCCGCAGCACGGGGGTTGATGTGGAGTCCTTGAATGCAAACCAAAGCACGCCTCTGTTCCACGGATCCAGAGCCTTGCAACCATATAGGGGTGCCTGCTAGTCTCCCAAGTGCTACTGTTTCTTTAAATTATTATTATTTTCCAGTTTGATTAGAGAGAGTTAGAAAGCAAACCTCCAGGTCTGGGACTCGAACCATGGTCAGCCATGTGGGAGTCCAGTGCCGTTAAACACCATAATACCAGCCGCCCCCCAAGTTCTAATGTAAAGGCTACGAGTTTTCTCAGACATTGGACAGCTTCGTTTGGATGGGCAAAATCAAACGCCTTCAAAGTTAGGTGAATCCACCTGCCGGGCTCAGCTATTTCTGCTAGCCCCATCTCCGGCATTCAGTCTGCCTTTCTGACCCCTCTCCTCCGGGGAGGTGACAGCACACACAGAGTGTGCACAGTGACTGCCCATGAAGGGCAGGGTCATCAGAGGGGACCTTGATCTGCTGAGCTTTGATGCTGTAGGAGGAAAGGGCACAGGAAGGGTCCCCTCGGCAAATCCACTCAACAGGAGGTTAATGGCTGCTCCCGCCTCTCTCTCTCTCTCTCTCCCTCCTCCCCCCTATACTGCCTATGACAGGCGTCTTCCCCCCGTC